TTAAAAGGGAAATTAGATATGAATACAGGCCCATAGCCAGGAATTTCCAAGGGGGGTTCAATACAATCATACTCAACTTTAACAGTAACAGAACGTCGACGTTAACAGTGCTTATTTGTTTTCAAGGGGGATTGTATGAACCCCTCGAACCCCCCCTGGCTATGGGTGTGTGAATATATCCAGGGTCTTATTAGGGGAGGCACCCACCCTCCCATTGTTCATTGCCTTGTGGCATGAGGGCTTCACTTTGGTGGTCCAAAATGTACACATTGGGGGATTGTATGCAATCCTTCTTTCCTTCTTTTAGTTTTTCCATTTTTATTTCCTTGGTCCCCATGTTGGATGTATCCACTAAATTATAATGACATCTTTATGAACTGACCTGCTTCTATAAGTTCTTTTTATGTTATATCATACACTTCTATATAATGTAATATAATTTATTTATCAACGTTTTAGAGTCACCAATATGTGCTTCAATTAAAATTTCAGGTGTCATTCCGTCATTTGCCTTGGTCTTTCGGGTTACCTGTGTTTTATGCAAAGTGTTCCCTAATTTAGATACGTTTATTAACCAGTTTAGTGCATGATGTTTGAAACTGCTAATTTATTAATAAAAGCAAAACTGGTCCAGTACAGACTAACAGGGCATTAATACAGGGCCATTATGAATAAACAGGGCTATTAAGAATAAACAAGGCCATTATGAAAAAAATGGCCTTTATGAATAAGCAGGGCTATTACAACTTTTCAATTGTTATCTATTCAAATACATTTCTGGGGAGAAGAAAAATTAAGCAATTGAAAGTTACCAAGAATCATGAATTATCTAATTTGACCCAGTTATTAAGTTAATAATTATATAACACATTCCATGATGTCTATCAATTTATTTAATTTTGAGTTTTAAAATCCAGAATGAAATCTTGTATTTTGTATGCGATAAATTGCTTTGAATAAGACAACAATAAAACTATATTTACATTTACAAAGTAATACATGTTATTCCATCACATCACTTTAAAACTTTCTTTTTAATATTGCATTTGGTATAATTATATTTATACAATTTCTCAAAAAAAAAAACTGATTTGGCTTGGTTGAATCTTACACATTGACGGTTTGGTTAATAAAAGTGTTAAGAAATGAATGTTTTCAAATTGACCCTCCGTCAGTAATAATGGCCTTGGAGGCGTTGCCTGGTGCCATTACAGGCATCCTCAACCATTATAACAGACCTTGGAGATATAATAGGGCCATTATGAAAACACCCATTAATCAATACTATAGTAAAGGATAATGTGTAACCAGAGAGCATGATTCTTTTGCAAAATCACTTTGTCTTCTCCGGGACCTCTGTGTTACAAGGCAGCGCTCTAAGCGACTGAACTAAAGAAGTACTTCCCTAGCTCAAACGCTTACTGATGGCTAAGTATCTACCACATGTTCTAAGGGAAGCAATCCTGTCACACTTCCCCAACCTCAAGAGGAGTCATACCATTATGACTCTCATAACACATACCCTAGCTAGAAATCCTCTCTAACCACCTTGGGTTTTTTAGTTGAGCTCCAAATGTAACTGGAAAGCATGATTCTATTGCAAAATCACTTTGTCTCCTCCGGGACTCGAACCCGGGACCTCTGTGTTACAAGGCAGCGCTCTAAACGACTGAACTAAGGAAGAACTTCCCTAGCTCAACCGCTTACTGCTGGCTAAGTATCTACCAGATGTTCTAAGGGGAGCAATCATGTCACAAATGTTTTATGATTAAGTATAATGACAGTTGATTGCGATAAAAATTTTGTGAAATCATACAATTACTGGTAATAAAAAGCTGTAGACAATTTTCTAGCAAATTCAAATGCATTGTATTTTTTCTGGGTTGTAATTTCAACAAACATATTCTTGAAGTAGTACATAGTTGATTGCAATAGAAAATCAAAGTACTGTAATGCTGTTTACTCGGATGAACCCAAAATCTGATGACTGGCAAAAAAAATAAAAAACTGTTAAAGCTCCATGTAGATTACTAGCAGTTGCTTTTTCAAGTCAAATATCAAACATTTCAGCCACATTTAAGACGTTGACATACTAGTATTTAACATGTAATCAATTGTCGAGGTTCTGTGGGCATAGAGGGTCAAAAGGAATAACAAAAAAAAGTTAAATGTGTTTTGCGCTGTCTGAAGACTGGATAATGCATTTGATGAATATATTTCGATCAGACATGATTGTGTTTAAAATAGACACCCTTCCCCAATACAAGACTGGAAAAGTTTGTGTGACAGTAATTCTATACTCATGTGACTCTTGCTTGTGTAAGCAGTATGAGTTGGTTGCCCTTTTCCTTAAAACTTCACACAGTAGACCTTTTTTGTTCTTTGATTAGTTTTAAATAATTTAATAATAAATTTACTCACTTTCTTAATTATGCCATGCATAACATATTAAATTCATGTAATTTCTACCATTTATATAGTAGCAATTGTTTTATTTGTCTTTATGGCTTGTTCAAACGGAAGAGGTAAATCACAGAAGCATATTTTGGTTCGCTTAGTTTAATCAGTAGTGGATCAACGAACTATTAAAAAGGGGGTGTGGTTACATGTCAATTACAGGAGGAGGAAGGAGTTTTAAGGTTCATTATACCAATTTGGCAAAAATGGCTATGTTTACACCTCAAAATGTACTCCCTCGATAGGCATAGACCGTATCACTATTTAGTCAAATCCTTCAAAAACAGTTTCTTAGAAAATCTCCTGTTAAGGTCACGTGTCACAAAAGCAAAGGTCATCAGAATAAATGAGATGAGGGAGGAATAAGATTCAGAAGAGAACATTTCAGGGCTCGAAATTAGCAGTTGTCTGATTGTCACAGACAACTTAAAGTTGCTTTGGCAAGTTAAAACTTTGCAAATTAACTGTTACATGTAGGTCATCAAGTTGTTTTATGGCCGGGCAACAAGAAACACTATGAAGTATTTCACCTGAGAATGAAGATCAATGTATCTTTATATATCGCAAATTTTGTTTATTTAACATTTCCGTTGTGGTAAAAACCCATCATACTTTCATTTTCACAGACTATTCAGGTGAAGGCAAGCATAGGTAAGGGTTCTATGTATGTATGCTCTGTAGTGTATGTTCCTTCTTTTGCTAGGATCACAGTCATTGATATGATTTGTAAGAGGTCAATACGAGGTTATATTGACCCAATTGAAGCATATTGACTGAGGATGAAGTTGGAGGTCGATATGCTTCTCTAAGTCAATATAACATTGTATTGACCTCAACCAAAGGCTACAATTGCTGTATTATTAATCAACAACAAGAAAGAACAATATAAAATTGAGGATTTCTAGAATGTATTTTTAGTAACATGCTGTATGTCCTGTGCAATATACTGTTTTTGACCTACGAAAAGCTAAACACAACAGTATTGGTGTGCAAACTGAGTAAATACAAATGTACATGCAGTCAAGTTTTAACAAATCACAAATCCTTAAAAATATTCCATTAATAATACTGACTAATAAGTAAAAAGTTAATCAAACAAATTAGTTAATAATTTAAATGCCATGATGTTGATCACAGCCATACTGAATTCTTCAATTAAGTCATCAAATTTTAATTCATGATACTGTATCATGCATCCATCCTGCTTTTTGTCACATTAATTCATGTATTTATCAAAACAACACTTTTCAAAAGAACATTTATTACATGTTATAATACACTGTGGCATTGTACAAAACAAACAAGAAAAAATGGAATCTCAATTAATCCTTTCCTGGAAAATGTCATGGCAACCTTTAGTAAAGCAGGGCAACCTTTAGCCAAGCAGGGTAACCTGGATTGTTGAGCTTGTTGCCTTGATTTTACACAAAAAACTTGGCAGGGCAACCAGGATTTTTTTTTTATTTCTAGCCCTGCATTTTGGAATATTGATAGTTCATGAACACAGGCCATGGGGAGCCCTGGCTCAAATTCAAAGGACCTAAATTTTAAATGTTTTCTGTATGTGAAGGCTCTTGAGGAAGCATTGTTACACATGACAGCTATATAGGTTAATATTTCATCAGAAGCTTGGATTATAGATGAATGTCTCTATAAGATTGACTGATTAAAAAATGTCAGTATATTATTGGGCATGTGCCCCAGATCTGGCTGGTTAGGCAAGATAAGAAGAACCCTTGCCAAATTCTTCAAGAAAATAAAGTTAAAATTCACTTTAAAAAATTGTTATAACATTTGGCGTTCGCCTTCTTCTCTTAGTAAATTGTATAGTTCCCCAATAAAGTTCTGTTATATCTGCATGTTTTATCTCTTGTAATACAACTAATGCGATAATAGAAAAGGGGAAATATTTTTCAATGTTATGTTAAAGGTTCTTTTATATTATATACTTGTAAACTATTTAAATAAAACTGATTGGTCCAAATCACGCTAAAGGTAACTAGACTTAAAATTTGTTCATTCATGTCGTTATTGTCTGATCCATCAACCAACATAGCTGCCATGGCTAAATAATAAGGAAGATTTCATGTAACAAATAATGTCAATATATTGTTTGACTTCATGACTAGATTATTTTATATCAAAAGTTGTTATTTTGGGATTTTGAATTTGTTTCATTATCTAGGCTTCAACTTTCTCATTAGCTAGAAATGGTAAAAGCTATAAAAATCAAGATAATTTTGATTAAATTAGATTTAGTTACAGCTCATGAGTTCAGTCTTAATTGGCAATTAAAGAACTTGGAATGAAGATAAAAATTCGTTTTCTATCTATTGCATAACAAGAAAATAAAGAATTCAAAGATTTATTTTTATTTACTCTCAACAAGCAAATACATTTAAAACCAAATTGATTAAGTTTACAACTAATTGTCTGATATTATTCATTATCTTAACATAGTGGCAAAGACTCATTTATTAGTACTGATAGAATTTTATTAGATGGCAAGATGGATTATCTTATTTTCCTAATTTTATTTGTAGAATTCTACGACTAATGATAAGCCACAACAATCAATATTTTTTTTCACGCTCATGGATTCACTGTGCTGTATTAAGGAAGCAGAGCTAAGATGTATCCGAGTAATTAGCGGGAGAAAAGAACTACACAAGGTAGGAACTATTTTTAATGTATTGATGTTGTTAATTTCAAAAGATGTAATGTCAACATAGCTCTTTATGAAATGAATTTCTATAATTGTTGTGGAATAACTGATTATTTTTACAAGATAATATTTACGTTGTTATTGATTGTCTAAAGGTGTGATAGATGCTTTGTCTGTTGTATTGGGAAACTAGCTATTTATGTAGGTAAATGTTAAAATGAGGACAGGGTTATAATTATTTTCCCATTGAATCACTTATTTAGAGATAATAATGAAGCTGTTAATACTGTCTCTAGTATAATAGAATTAAAAAGTCATTAAAATTTTAGAAAGACATTATCTGTAAAAGTAAACGCATAATTTATTAGAAATATAAGAGTGTTTTCCAAAATAGAGTATTTAATAAGAATATAGTATGTGGTGTACAACCTTTGGGATAAAAAATACTTTTGGTCTAAAGACATGATAATTACTCAAGGAACTTGCAGGTAATTTTCACTATTCTATGATAAATTTAACTATCCACCTTGTAAACTTCTTTGTATTTTTTTTAGTCAGTGCCACTCTTAAATTTTTGCATAGGATGATTGCTTAGTTGAAAGAATGTAGAAATAAGGAATTATTTGAATCTGGAAAGATTTGGAATTCTGAAAAATTGATAAGAAAATGTATGATAAAAACTAACCCACTTAAGGAGGGTTAGCCATACATGCATTAGTATCAGTGAAAAGTAACCTGAACCTTAGCCATGAGTGCATGACTAACCCTCCTTAGTTGGTTTACTTTCATCATACATTTCTTATCAATTTTCAAGAATTTAAAATTATTCCAGTTTCAAATAATTCCTTGTTTATATCATTTACCGGTACAATTTTCTAAAGCTGACTTTTTATGCAGCTGTGAAATGTATATTCTATTGTCAACTGAAAATGTTTATTTGATAACAAAAATTAAGGATGGGGACTTGGATTTCAATTATGATACTTCAGGGACTAATTTGATTTTTATCTTTGACTTAAGTGAAAAATAGGCCCACTCAACTCCTACTTTATGTCATGTTTTGACAAGATTATTATAGTATATATGTATTATTAACCTAAGTATCAAGCAAGTGCTGTATCAAATTATGAAAATGGTCATACCATCCAAGTCCAGTATTTCATTTTTATTTTTTAGGGACGTATTATGGTATATATAGTTGTATAGCACTCAAACCTGCAAGCAATTTCTAATGACAACATGTAGAAATATATGTCATTAACTTTAAAAGAAAAGAAAATGTCAATAATTAGTACATTGACTCATGCATATTTACAATTGGGGGCATTTGTGGCCCATAGACACATTCTCCATTTATTTTTATAAATTTCTGATATGACATTGAGGAGTTATGGAACTTTATTTGTGGAAAAAGGGACAGGAGTAGCATGCGCTCACGGTGCAGCTCCTTATTTTTCATTCTTTGATACTGTAGGAAAGATTTGACACCTGATTTTTAGAATTATCAGTTTAAGAATGTATGACATGAATATGAAATGTAAAACGCCCCTTTAGATAGATAGTTTGAACTTAATGTACGAGAAAGAAGATTAAGGCCATTTGAGCTTTTGCCATCTTTAGGTGTCAGTCGTATTTTAAAAAATCTACACCTGAAACTACAATACCTTTTTCAAACTACTTAAAATTAATGATCCTCAGGGTATCTTGTTAAAATTTGTGCTTTTCATTGCTGTCAGTCAAAAAACATGGCCACCAACCGCAGAAGGGTAAAATACATGATTTGACGAAAACCATTTGATAACTGCCCTTGAATTACAATTTATACTTATTTTCCAAATAATGATCAGCACAACAAGATATATTTTTGACAGGTGAGTGACTCAGGTTTTATATATAAAGAGCCCTAATTGTTCATATTCTGAATCACTATTAACTGTGCATCACCCTACATTTGACAAAAGACTTGTTATTTCATTGGATGAGAGCAACACCATTTATAAGAGAATTATGCTCCTTGCTCATCGTATATGAGCTATATATACTGTTACTTCTAATACTAATGATAACTTACTAATGTTACACAGTTCAAAGTCCACTGATGATTTATAAAAAATATGGCAATGTTATCAACATCTAAAATTGATTTGAATTTTCTTTAAAGCAGGTCCAATTGGTAATATTTTACATGAGACTAAAAAGGTTAATACTTTTTAAAACTTGAAAATTTCAAATTTCTCACCCATTACCAAATTAACCACTTCAGCAAACAATTTTATATGGCTTCCAAAAATTCATCAGTAGGATATATATTTATTTAAGGAATGAATGGGGTCCATTCAAACTTTACTTTGGATTTGCACGGTACAATTTTTTCATGAACCACATATTTTCAGATACGACCAGAAAGTCACAAGATAATTCTTTTGTACCTGATTTGCACATTCATGAGATTCTCTTGGATTTCAATGTTAAAAACCTACAGTTCTCTGTTTGGTTGGTTAAGCCGTTCTTGTTATTGCCTTCCTTGTATGTGTTTTCATGCATGTGACTCTTCAATATATTTGACCGATACAAGGTTTGACTCATTGTTTGAGTTTTTTTTTTCGAAACTTTCAATAAATGTATTTACACTTTTGGTGTTTAGCTAATTCTTTTCTCTGAATGACCTTACATCTGCTCCGAATAACCTTCTGACGTCAAGCAACAATCACTTTTTAATTGTGACGTCAAATTTTTACATCGCGATGACCTTGGGGTCATTCAGATGTATTGTTATCGCCTAGATTTCCATTATGTAAATTAGTTTTGGGTTTGTAACCGATCTATAAACATGATAAATATGCGCACATAAACGAATGCAAAATAACATTCCTTATCGTTTGATATAAATACATCTCTTCAATGAATACTGATAAAAATATTTTTGTTTACAACATAAATTAATAATATGAAAATGTTTTGTAGTTAGATATATATATATAAGTACAAAATCAATGATAATATCAATGCAGACGTACCGAAAAATTGTGTTAAAGCATGCGGAAGAATATCTCAGAGAACTTTTTGCGAGGACCGGTAACTCTGTAATTGTTTTTGCGGGAAAATATGAATGCCTACTCGTATCCAATCTTAGAAAAATCGAATTTTTACAGAAAAGTGTCCACCATGTATACTGATTTGTATCACTGCAATATAATAGTTATTACGGTGAAGTTGAATTTCCTGTCATTTATTCATCATCCACGCACGAACTTGTCTCAGAAAAAAATATATCTCTGTACATTAACCTCAGTTTCAGGTAAAGAGATATGTTGTTTTTTTCTGAGACAAGTGCTTTTGACCATCCTCAAGAACTTGTGGTCATCCGATGTTCAGTACTTCAGTACTTTGATTTAAATTGTGATGTCAAATTTTATGGGAATTTGTGTGATTTTACCTAATGGTGGACAATCTTGCATACAAGTGTAAATACGTCTATTGCTATATAATACACTCAGACTCGTGCTATATATCCCATATTATGTTTTTTTATATAGGGTAGTTATACAAAAATGTTATTACTAGATGGCATTGTCACATTGCTGATTTGCATAGATTTTTTTCTTTCATACTGTCATTGAATCTGTTTATTTCTCAGTTTTACATAAAGAACAAAATTGATTGAAATTCTACGGGGAAATTGTGAGACATTTTATGAGAACTTAGAAGAAAAGACATGATCTATATTATCTATAAACTGCTGATAGATTAGAATTTATACTTTTGCAGATTGTTGGTTTAAATAACATTTTCCTAGAGGATTATGTATGATGTCTTGTTTTTTCAATGAGATTGTAACCTTCAGTTCTGTCTGCTTAGTGCTTTTGTTTAGCATGGCAAGGTGATTATCTCTTTTCTTTTTTTAACATTAAGCTTTACCATATTGACAGTGGTTTTAATTTATTGCATTTATGTATTGGCAAATAGTTCATCAGGCCTCATATTCATCTGTTGTAATAATAAACAGTTTAGTATTTCTTTTGTAAGCCTTCTATGTCATTTGGTCTCTGGTGGAGAGTTGTCTCTCTGTCAATCATACCACATCTTATTTTTACAGTAAGATCATTGTTTTTTGGACCTGTACAGACACGATTAAATCTTAAAATTTCTTGCTTTGAAATTTTTTTCCCATTATGGCAAGAATGTATATATCTCAAGTTACCTGAATTTCTATGGGCACTAACTGCACATCTATAATTTAAGATCTTTTTCTTAACTGTTTTGACTAATTTTTGTGTTTTGCTAATTATTTTGAAAACTATAATAGATAGGTAAAAACTGTAAACTGCAAAAATGATCAGCAAACAAGATCTACAAAAACAAGTATGACCAAAACCATTTGCAGATGCCTTATAGGAGATATTGGCCTCCAATGATGATTTTTTACAATTTTTAAAGGCAGTGCCTTGATGCCTTTAATGGTATGAGGCAATAGCCATTTTGTTTCTACGTGGGGGGGTAAATATGTCACCATTGAAATCCAGAAATGTGGAATATTTTTTCCTTCTATTTGTGATTATCTGTGTTTTTTTTTATTGTAATTCATTGACATTGTGAAGTAAAGAATCGAACAGTGTTTTTTGTAAGTTTTCAAAATTTACTATAGAGTTGCAATTTACTTTATGAGCAGTCAACCGATTGACATACTGATATCACTTAAAAATCCGCATGAAAGAGTTTGGGTTTATTCAGAGTGGTATATTTTAATCTTTAGTTGCTTTTAAGATCGTTTCAGTCATTGATATAACAATGAAAAGTCGACTGTTCTATGCTTAGTCGCCACATGTCAAAAATAACTCAGTTTTCTCGGGAATCCGATTATTTTTTCTTTTTCTCATCAGAACATTTGGTACGTTGAATATTGCTGAAATCCGCCTAAACTATCAATATCAATCTGGAATTTATTGAAAACCAGAGCTGATGAAAATTGTCTGACTGTCTGACATACAATGTAGCTATCAAGTCAGA